CAACGTCAAATTTTCACAAAAACCCCGCCCTAAATTAAAATCGTTACTAAAGAAAAATTATTTAGAATCACACAATACCAACGTCATTTACAAAATAACATGCAATAACTGCCCAGAATTCTACATAGGAGAAAGAAGAAGAAAACAGCAAATGTACAACGTTTCGACAAGGTTTTGTGAATGTAAGACCATTCATTGCGAAATATATTAATTTTATTTAAATGTGCTTGTAAACATTAGTTTAATCAGAAGTTTCCAATAGTTTTAAATTAATTATGTTTACAATGTGAATAGCAAAAAATATACTAGCACGTATTAAAATGTAAGCAACATTCCACTCTTTCAAAAGTGTACTGTTTACAAAACTTTAAACATTTATATGTTGTGTGTATATGTAGATATAGAGAGATTTTAGGGATCTAACAAGAGGAAATAATTCAGATATTTGTAAATCAATTATAAGTAGTTTATATGAGCATCTCAAGCAATTGAATCGACATAAGTATGTCAACCTACGGGAACAAGAACATTTTCAAGTACAAACCTTGCTGTGAGTGAGATCCTGGTTCTGATGAAATCGAACTCTTTTGACGAAATTTTTGACTTTCTTCTCCTTTCCCCTTCAAATTTTAAAACAAAACATATTTTATTCAACTGAAACGAACTTTGAATCACATAATTGTCAGGTTTTCTGAAGATGCTGGAAAAAGAACAATTACTTAGCACACATGTTCCATCAAGCATTTGCTTCGCGAGCCATTGTATGCAATTGTATTTTTCTGCCAAATATTTTTATCTTTCACCTTTCGCTGTTTCTATAGTACTTGTCTTCATTACAGATATGTTTTGTTTTAGATTTTAGTTCAATGTTAAACAAAGGGTAATCCTCACATAGCTCTCTATTTTGAGCTCATCGACTCAATGGAAGGCAGATAATCAACAGCACCCTCCGCCAACTCTTGGGCTACTCTTGTTTGTTCGAAGACTAGTATTAGACTAGCAACGATGTTTCACATTTGACGACTTCTCGTCTTATAAATTATTTACACACATAGTATTTCGATTAAAAGTTTGCATGTCCTAAACTGGAGCTCGTTAGGTCGGCTGGTATTGAATATAAAATATACAGTTGTAGTGGATGTATACAAATAGTATTTCGATTAAAAGTTTGCATGTCCTAAACCCAGCCGACCTAACGACCTTACTCATTTGTACAGCTGATTTTGTTATATTTATCAATTTACACTAAATGCCTCTCAGTGGCACAGCGGTATGTCTGCGGACTTACAACGCTAGAATCCGGGTTTCGATACCCGTGGTGGGCAGAGTAAAGATAGCCCATTGTGTAGTTTTGTGCTTAATTTCAAATAAACAAACAAACAAATTTACACTAAAACCAAAACCATTCAAATCTATCTCCTTCCGTTAGAAGGTACAGTAATACATTTTATTTCTATCATTGATAGATGCAGTAATACATATTTAGTTCGTTTTTCAATAATGAATATGATATAGGACAGACAGCCTAAACAACTTCTCGTCATAAAACGATTAATACAGAATAACTAATGTCTTATTTTATGTTTACGACATTTGTTTGGATTTTATGCTACAATTGTTTCTTTTAATTTAAGTGTTGATTTCACTGGATGCTGACAAGATATTTTTCTCTCTATTGACAGGGGTTTTAGTAAGCTTATTTCTTATTTGGTGTTTAAAAAAATACCTTCTTTTTCACTGGTAGCTCCTTCATCATAATATCGTGACAGCCATTTCTCTTATCATCCACTGGATATAGAGCCTCTCCATTGATTCGTTCCTGGTATTTACTTGGAGTATACATTTTGTTATCTGTCTTCCTAGGCTTACTGTCCTTCGCAGAGTTCTCTGGAATGAAGATATGTTTCTCAGGATCTTATCTTTTATAGACATCCGTAAAGTGAGATGAAGGAGAAAAATAATCGTCAAATCTAATAAAAACAACATCAGTGCACCGAAACACAACTTCAATAAAATACGGAGTTAAACTTGAAGAAGGACATGAGCGTTTGCTTTACAAGGTCAGAATCGATATAATTCGATGAAATAAAAGTTGCCCCCCCCCACATATGATTTTGTTTTTAAATTTCAGCCATTCTACGGATAGAACAATAGAAGACCGAAATGGAGTGCTTGCGATACACAATGTGCGATTTTCACACGTGTCAAACTGTGTCTGGTATCCAATGGACATGATCTAGTACATATTTCCACGTGTCGAACATTATCAGGCATTCAACGGACATCATTTGCAGCTTTAAGCTTCCAAATATAGTTTTAAATATGGAGGTGCAATTTTGCTACATCCTGTATGTTCATGTTTTTTTGAAGTTAATTGGCTACTTAATAGTAATTACGAGTTCTATATAAACCATTTAGATTAAGTTTACAACTGACTGCTTATTAAAATAACAGAATAAGATAGGTTTTGTTCTTGTAAGAATAGATAAATGCTTGATTATTAATATTTATATCAGGAGTTCAGAAAAGTTCAGTTAATTCAACCACTTCAATCTGATTAAGAAGTAGAGGAGACCCGTACTCGATTACAACAAAGGTTATACAGCTAGAAATGAAACAAACCTTGATTTTGACGTCTACGCTTCCGCTTCCGGATGAAGCAAATGACGAGAATGACATTCATGAAGACAAGAAGGGCACCAACAACTGAGCCTACAACCAGTAACAATCTGGGAATTTCACCTTTGTCTCCGTAGGTTGAATCGATCATGGCTCCTGTCGAATCAGTGCCATCAGCGGTTTCTGTTCAGTTTAAACAACATGGGTTGTAGTAGTACTGAAATGACTCTTATAATATCCATTGTTCAGTTGAAACAATATGGGTTGTAGTGGTATTGTAATGACTCTTATAATATTCATTGTTCAGTTTAAACAACAATATGGGTTGTAGTGGTACTGTAATGACTCTTATAATATCCATTGTTCAGTTTAAACATTATGGGTTATAGTGGTACTGTAATGACTCTTATAGTGTCCATTTTTCAGTTTAAACAATATGGGTTGTAGTGGTGCTGTAATGACTCTTATAGTGTTCATTGTTCAGTTTAAACAATATGGGTTGTAGTGGTGCTGTAATGACTCTTATAATATCCAATGTTCAGTTTAAACAACATGGGTTGTAGTGGTACTGTAATGACTCTTATAGTGTCCATTTTTCAGTTTAAACAATATGGGTGGTAGTGGAAATGTACAAATAAGTATTTTAAAATTAAAAAGGACACCAAATTTACTTTCTATTCCTGATTCCCTTAAATTTGGTTTCTAAACCTTTGAGGTTCGGAAGAAAGACGATTCTTTTAGATTTATCAAAACAAAGTAGACTGGAAAACTTTCCATCAGTATCATTTAATAATATCATTTTTATGAGTTTATAAGAGAATAGAAAGAAAATGCATTGAAACAACTGTGCAAAAAAAGTTGCAAATAAACTAACTTATAAACAGACATTCACAGCGTCGTTTTTATACTAGATTGAAGAACTTTCAAACAATATTAACTAAATTTCTAGGTTGCAACACAACTCCCCTAAAGCTGCTCTTGCATTTTAACTTTGTATATTGAAACGATTAGGAATGCACACAAGTCATAAATTGTAATCCTGCAATTAGAAAAACACACGTGCTAAACTAAAGTTTGAGGTTAAAGCTTTTTAAAAAATTGCAAACATTTATCGCGGTGTATTATAATTATCTATTATCTTACCTAAGGTCTTAATGTATGCGACTTCTTCACTGTAGTCA